GCTCTCGCGGCTCGTCCCCCCACCTCTTCCATGCGAGCTCGGATATCCACCTTAAATCGCTGCGGCTGCAGAGGAGGAAAGAAAAAAACAAAAACACAAAAAAAAAAAAAAAAAAAAAAAAAAAAAAAAAAATAAAAAAAAAAAAAAAAAAAAAAAAAAAAAAAAAAAAAAACCGAAAAAAAAAAAAAAAGAAAAAATAAAAAAGAACGCTGTGTCTGCAGCGACCTTGCCATGATCTAAAGTGTTTTGTTTACAGTCAGCACCTCCAATGGCTGCAGCAAATCGGGACAGAGGCAGGCGCCCGCCCGTAGTAGCAGTGAAACGTGGAAAAAAAAAAATACAGGAAAAAATATACTCGAAAATCCCGGAGTGAAGCTGTGGAAAGATCAGAGCGCCATCGTCTTGTTAAAGAGGGGTACAGCAGTGGGGCTGCGGGGGAGGCGGTGCGGGGTGGGGACGGGGGCCAGGGCTGAGCCTCCCGCAGAGCTCCAGCCTCCACAGCCGGCTCTGCCCCCTCCGGGGCCGGTTCAGCCAGTCAAAGACCGGAGGAGAGCATTAGAGAAAAAAAGGAAACCAAACAACAGCACGAAACTTGGAGGAGTGAAGCAGGGAGGAGGGAGGAGTGTTTGTAGGAAGGTCTGGGTGGCTGTTCTAACAGGCTCTGTACACCCTATCCCCTCTCTTCCCACTACCCCTCTCCTCGCTCTTGTTTGGGTTTTTCCACTGGCAGAGCTGCTCGCTGTTTCTCTTTCCACCAGAATCGCTTAGGCAAGCCTCCCGTCTTCTTTTTGGCCACCCGCCTTCCCCAACACTTCATAAAGCTGTCCCGTGATCCAGCAAAGCCCATCCAAACTGCACACACAAAGTATCTAGGTTGCTTGGGATTTTATATATTCCCTTGCAAATAGGGGGAAAATTGGGAATCATACCTGAGCTCCTCCACCAGGATGTGTCCTCCAGAGTCGAGGATGAAAAAAGCAGAGATATTGCATGACCCATCTGGAGGTTTGCTCCTAACCCACCTCAGCTATTACTAAGCCACAGCTACTTCCCCGCCTCTCCAGGTTTACACCAAGTGCTGATTCCTTCAGGAGATGTGGGGTGAGCCTGCCATGAGATTTGGGGTGCAGGCCCCAAGTATTCACCATATAATATTCACTTAACAGGAGCCCTTTCCTTCTAGGCAGGATTAGGACCCGGTGAGGTTCAGCAGCAGAGACTGTCAGGAAGGAAGGAACCACTTCAGTGTACAAAGGCTCTGGGACATGATCCAGCAGTGACCAGGAGCAGAGCACTCCCTAGGGGAGCAAGGAAACACTACCCTCCTGTTCAAGTGGCATTTCAGACCTTCTGCTCATTTGCTGTAAACTCTAGAGGGAGCCTAAGGACAGAGATCAGGCCAGCGCCAGGACCTGACCTTGCTGTTGGCAGCGTCCCCAGTGCTGTCCCTGGGCAAGTCCCATTCCCATCCCTGCTGCTGGCACTTCTGCGGGCTCTGCTCCCGCTCCCCTCTTGGCAGGTGGGGCCAGGGGTGCCCAGGGGTCCCGGACCTGCCAACACCTGCAGCAGCCTTGGGTGGGCTCAGATGCCAGGACCAGCCCAGGGGATTTTGAGTCCTTGTGGTGGTGTTCCTGCAGGTACAGCTTGGGAGTGTCCTTAATGGGATTTGGGTTGTCCTTAGGGGGATTTGAGGGTGTCCTTAATGGGATTTGTTTTTAAAGTCAGGTGCTGTGTCAGAAATGCCTCTTCTGTGCTATAACGATAGGGTAGGTTACACAGTTATGTCTGCAGAAGATACAGGTTAAATTACTAGCACTGAAAGTATTCATTCCAAAGAGAGATCTCATTCTTCAAAGAGAGAGCTTTCTGCAGCTCTCTGCTTGTCACCAACTCCCCCTGACTTGCTAAAGAAGGAGTCCTTCTGAAATACCCTGATTTTGTCTCAGGGAAGACTGGCTCAGACAATTTAATTTTTGTTTTTCATTTTGTTTGACGTGCAAAATAGGAGCAAGCTTGAACTGCCCCTGAAGCACAGGTGAAGCCAGGAGTGTCCTATAGCCAGAAGTGATGGATGTACTTTTCTGGGTAACCAACTTCTCCTTTTTCAAACCAGGAATAAGAAAGAAAGAGGATGTTAATATACAGTCTCTAAAAATAAATACACACACTTACACATGATTATGTTGTCCCAGCAAACAATACTGTTGTAGAGGTGGGGCCTAAATCAGTAAATTGATTACTTGCTGTGAAGTGACCTAATTTCTCTGAAGAAAACACACCATATGAAAAAAAAGTAATCTTCAGTCTATCGCCATGTCTGTAAGACTTCTCATTTAATACATGACATAACCCATGCCACTTCATTAGAATAGCAAATTTTTAGCATAAGAGTCTTAACTAGAGGCTTCTT